AGACGGAGGAGAGAATAAGTGCCAACAAGCAGGATTCCATGGGGCAGCCCCAGGCAGGCGCTTTCACATTTACTTCCTTTGTTCTTCATGACAGTCAGGGAACTGAGCCCCACTGAGAAAGCAGCACAGTGCTGGTCTGACTCCAGAGCCTGGGCCCCAACCCGGAGATACCCAGCTGAGCACGATTAAGTGCACACCAGAGGGAAGCCCAGTAAACCGGAAGTGGCAGGTCTATACTCAGCACACAGGCCTGTCCTCTTCACAGCTTCAGGAGTTAACAACTCACTGCTGGTCTGATGATGGATGGGGGCCTCTCTCCCTGGTCTTTACAGCTGGAGGATATCTGAAGTCCTCTGTTCACAGACACCCCCAGATGGCTGAGTTGGTTGATCCAGACCCAGCTATGCCTGGTGAGGAAAACCCAGGGCCTTCAGATCTTTAGCTTATTCTATAATTCCCTGTGCCTCCATTTCACTATCATTATCCCTGTTTAACAGGTGAGCAACTGCCTCCTAGTAATGTCCTGAGGATGAGTTAATATGTATAAAGATCTTAAAACAGGGTGTGGGCCAACAGAGAATTAGTTTTAGTTATCCTCATTCATTCCACAAGCATTTACTGAACACCTCTTCATGCTCCCCGCACATATAAATATACAGGTGCGATGGAGGAGGAAGAGCAGGGTAAAGGGAACAGAGACATGGGGCCAAGGCAGAACTCTGAGACAGTGACATTTGAGCAGAGACCTCATGGAGTCAAGAAGAGAAGCATAATGATACCTGGGAGAAGAAGACTCCAAGCAAAGGGAACAAGTGCAAAGGTCCTTAGGCGGAAAGTGCGTTTGGCCTACTCAAGGAACAGTGAGGAGACTGGTGTGGCTAGTGAGAACATGAGTGGTAGGAAATGATTCTGGAGAGGGGGCCAGACCATGAAGGACTTTGTAGAATATAGTACTGACTTTATAGCTTATTCCAAGTGGAACTAAAAGCCACTCAGCTTTCTAAGAAGAGAAATTACATGATTAAATTTACATTTTAAAGATCACACTAATGTAATACACTATTAAGCATAGCTGCCAAGACCAGGGGTCTACGAACTTCTGTAAATCGCCAGAGAGTAAATATTTTAGGCTTTGCAGACCACATGGTCTCTATCACAACTATTCAATTATACCACAGTAGGGAAAAAGCAGCCATGGGCATGGTCATGTTCCAATAAAACTTTATTTACAAAACAGGAGGCTAAGCTATAGTTTAGCTTACCCTGCTCCAGACTTTAATTCCTGGTACAGAAGGCCAAAGTAAACAGTGCCAAAAGTCAGTAAGAGACCATGTCCATAGTGTGGCATTCTATAAGACAACTAGCCTGGTTTACCTAAAAATAAAATAAAATAAAATAAAATAATAAAATAAAATAAAATAAAATAATAAATAAAATAAAATAATAAAATAAAATAAATAAAATAAAATAAAACAAAATAAATCAATATCATGTGGGGGATTGCCCAGGACCAAACCAGAGAGGGTCAGGCTTGTGTTACCACCATTTGTCCACCATCCAGAACTGAAATATCATTGCTGACATGTACACATAAGGAACTGTTTGACATTGAAATTGGGTCTCAAAAGAACTGTTGGCCCAGAAAGAAACTCACTACAGACTGATTCATTTGCCTTTCAGCATAGCCATTATTGCTTGTCTCATTTTCGGTTCTTATAAGTGTATTTCCAGTAGGACATGATCTCACTCATCTAGGGGAAATGATGAACAACACAGACTGATGAACAAGAACAGACCCAGAGACAAGGAGGCATGGATCAGACTGTCAGACCTCAGAGGGAGGGTGGGAATAAAGGGGAGAGATCATCCAAAGGACTTGTGTGCATACATAAGAGACTAACCAGTGGTCAAGGACAACAGGGGGGTGGGAGCATACGTGGGGAGGGGGTGGGATGGGAACGGGGGGATGCGGATAAATATGTGATACCTTAATAAAGAAATTAAAAAATATATATCATGTGGGGGGAAAGAGAAAAATTTGAACTACATTAAAATAGGCCAACGAGAGAGCATGTACCTTGAATAAATCCTGGTTTACAAAACATTTTGAGGACAACTGGGGAAATCCAAGTATGGCACGGCTATGGGGAGGATGTTACTAGATGTCCTATAAAATAAAAGGCTAATATGCCCATCAACTGAATGGCAGAACGAACAGTCGCTATGATGTGCACTGACCAACAGGAGGGCAGACGCTCAAAGCAGGAGTGCCGCTCAGCCAGAGCCCGCCTCCACAACAGTCAGACACCCCCGAGGGCTCCTGGATTGTGAGAGGGCACAAGCCGGGCTGAGGGACGCCCCCCACCTCCCAGGAGTGAATGACTTTTGTGCACCTGGCTACTAGTATATTATAAAGAACCACCTCAGGCATGATAATGGTACCATGATTCTGTAGGAGAATGTCCTTATTCTTAGAAGATGCCTACTGATGTATTAAGGAGGTAAGTGTCATAATATGAACAGAAGTTCAAGATTCAGCATGAGGCAAACATGGCAAATGCTGAGTTGCTGATTCAGGGCACAGGAATCTGAACATTCTTTTTTTTTTTTTTTTAATCTTCATTGTTGAAAATATTACATATGTCCCCCTTTTTCTCCCTGGACCTTCATTTATTATACTAAATGTGCACTAGAATCCCTCAGGGAATCCCTCTAGCTGACCAGGAGAGCCAACTGGAGAGCAGGAGAGGCTACCCGGAGTCAACAGGCCACTGCAGCATCTAGCAAGGACCAGCCACCAGTGTGACCCCTGTCGGCTCTCTGCCGCCACCCCCACCTCTCTCCAGGCTCGGGCCTACGTGGCTGGGGCAGAGGACAGCCCATAGCAGAGCAGGCTCCTTTCACTGGGTTTCTGGCTCACGCCTCCCTGGGATGAAGGTCAGGAAGCTGTGGTCTGTTTTCAGAGCAGCCCCAGCCCCACACCCTATCCCCCCATCTTAAGAAAGGGACTTCCCCACACTGAAGAGCATGGTATCTTATTAAAATAAAACCAGAGCAGGTCTCTTGCCTAAGAAAACACTTCGCCAGCTCCCACTGCCCCTTTCCATACTGTGTGCCAGGTACCGCTGAACCAAGGGCTTCCTGTTTGTCAGCCCCTTTTAGCGACCTGTGACAAACCCCAACTACGTCACCACCTGCCAAGCCCCCTGGGGATCTCCACCTGGAGTCCAGGCCCTGGCTGAACTCACCAGCTTCAGGATTCTCCCCTCCTCCCCTCGAAACCTCTGGTGCTTGATTCTTTGGTGACACAAAACCCCCGATGTCCCTGGAATGACAAGGTGTCCCTCCTCCGGCCTCTACACGTGCTGGTTCCTCTTCCTGGAGCCACCTCCTCCTTCCTATCTCTATGGCCAACGCCTTCATTCCTATCTATACTCCAAAACTCAGCCAACCCTCAGGTCCCATGTATTTATTGGTCTTTATCAGCTTTACTGACAGTCTGTTTTGGTTCCCAGTTTTCAGCTGAGTAACCTCAGCTGGCCTAAGATGGATATTCTGTTCCCCTTGAAGGGGCGAATATATTTTTGATCTTGGGAAGGTATGCAACAATAATTACAGTATAGCTTGTGGTATATGTCTTGTGATATTATTTGGTGTATGCTCCAGAAATGCAGTCTAAGCGTATAGCCACTAATCATATGTGGCTATTTTAAAAATTTTAAACTTAAATTAATTAAATAAAATAAAGAATTTTATTCCTCAGTTGCACCAACCATGTTTCAAATGCACCATAGGCATCCACTTGGGCACTGCAAGTACAGAACATTTCTATCATGCAGAAAGTCCTCTTGGATGGCACTGTTTTAGGGTTCTCCGGAGGGTCAGCTGAATGCTCACCCCAGAGACAAGTTAAGAGAGTATTTCTCAAAGAGAGGCTCAAAGGGACAGAGTGGCAGGAATATTTGCCACTCATTACAAAGGGGTAAGCTTCCTAAAGCATAAAGAGCTTTCAGAAATAAATAAGAAAAAGACTACCCAACAGAAAAATAGGCGAAGGATATGAACAGGAAGTTCAGAAAGAGGAATTCACAGGGCCCTTGAATATATGAAAGGAACTCTAATCCAAAAGCAAAGGCCAATGAAAACCACCCTCAGCTGCCATTTCCCACTGATCAGATTGGTGAAAATCCAAACATCTGAAAAACACAAAGCTGTGGATTCTTAGACATAGCCTAATAGAGTCATTTCTCAACATTACAAATACATATCCCCTATAACCCAGCAAGCCTCCATCTAAGAAGTCATCTTACAAATTTAGCAGCACATATGCAAACAAGACAAACACAGGTACTGCACCGTGGCGTTGCTTGTAATGAGCCAAAGGTTGGAAACAAGCCCAGTCACCACCCATAAAGAATTGCTCTACAAACCTGGGAGCACACAAGTGCAGCTGTTTAAGAAAACAAAAATGTAGCAGCAGCTCACTATAGACTGAAGCAGGAACATTCCCCAAGACAAATTAAGTAAAAGAGCTCAAGTGCGTGTACAATGCTACCTTTTGTGTAACAAGGCGAAACCAGGGACTTGGCATGAAAAGCCCTATCGGAGTGAGCGAGCCCGTGCCCCTGGAAGAAGCTCTCGGAGGGCACGTAAGAAGAGCAGTTAACCTGGGGGTGGGGTGGGGGTGGGGGTGGGGGTGGGGCGGGACAAAAGGGAGAGGGAAGCTGGACAGATTCCTTATACTGTGTGATTTTTAAACTAGGTAAACCGGTATCATCTCTTCTGATTGAGTCTCTGACCGCCTGCCTCAAAAGCACGGGAGATGCGCATTAGCAATGTAGCTCCCTGACCCTCCACCCATCTCCAGATAATCAGAGGCCCTGATGTGGCCCGAGCTCCACCTGTTAAAAACCGGGGTACAAGGGAGTCTGTCCACCTGTACCCCTTCCCCTCATCAGGCCTGCCACTCTCAATGGGCAGCCACAGAGGCTCAGACTCGCCTCTCATCTGGAGAGTCTACATGGAAGGTCCTCTCGATGACTGTGGTCCACTGCAAGCAGCGTATGACAAACGTGTTGGGCCGCGGTCTCTCAGTCTTCATCAGCTGGCATTCTGTAGGCAGAGGAAGGACAAAGACAGGAGGGTAAGGGGACAGCCCTGCTGGCCTGCAGCCCACATCCCCGAAGCCACCTTCTGTGTGCTTAGATGGTGTTAAGGACACCTTAGTGACAGAGATAGCTCTGGACTTGCCCCCATGGGGCACAAGACGGTGTGTGTGTGTGTGTGTGTGTGGCTACTAGACAATGACGGCTCAGTGGTCAGAACTGTGATGGGGGCATATTCTGGAGGAAGGGGCATTCCTACACTGAACCTGGAAGGAAGAGGGAACATGGTCAGTCAGACAGAAGGGTACGTCATGCAGAGACCGGAGGTGCCGAGGGCCCAGCATACTTAGGGAATAGCGAATTCTGCTCATGGTGTGAGGAGCAGGCAAGTGAGACTGGCTGGAGAGGTGGGGTAGGGGCCCGCCTGCAGGGCTCAGGAGAATGGTGAGAATCTGGACTTTGTCCTGAGAGCAATAGGGGCTATGGAAGGCTTAAATAGGGAATGGGCACAGATAGATTTAAACAGATCCCTCTAGCTGCCACGTAGGGGATGAGAGAGGATGGAGGCTGGGAGCCCAGGGAGAAGGCTGGGGCTACAGAGTGGAGCCATGGAGAGGGGAGGAAAAGGCAGATAGACAGGCTAGAGGGAGGCAGAGACAGGCACCTAGGATGAGGCCAAGGCCTGTGGCCTGAGGACTAGGAGACAATAGGGCCCTCCCTGAAAGGAGATAGGGAGTGGGAGGAAGGGAAGACTAGATGGCCAATGTGGGACATGGTGGAGCATGTCCACCCAGGGACACCCAGGAAGAAATGAGGAGGAAGCTGCTCAAGACAGGCTGGCAGTTCAGGTGAGAAGCCAGGCCTGGCAGTAGCCATGTCAGAGTCACCAGCATACGGGGAAAGCACCCAGGACAAGGCTTAAGCAGGACAGAGGGGACCAGGACTGGGTTCCAGAGACAGAGGGTAGGGTGAGACTTGACAAGAGGCTGGAGCAGGACTAGGTGGGGAAGAGTGGTGGACTGTGCTAAGGAGTGACAGTGGAGGGGGGTGTCTTTGAAAAGTGCTTAGGATGTGGTAACCAATCAGGTCAACAGGGAATGAAGGAAGCGGGGGGAGGCTGAGAGATGGAGGCAGGACTGTGGTTCTGCAAGATCCAGGCAAGGGCTTTGGGCCTGCCAAGCTTCCACTGGCCAGGGTCCAGCTGGCAGGCATCACTTCAGATACCACAGAGGAGATGGAGGATGCGGGGTTAGCCCTGCGATCAGCTGAAAGGGCGGCCATGAATGCCTCTAGTTTAGAGGGACAGAGAAACAGGCTGTTACCAGAATGCAGAGGCTCATGATACCAGCCAGACCTCAGGGCCTGGCCAGCAGCAGCTAGAACCACAGAGGCAGTGCTGCCTAGGGAGAGGCTGGGGAAAATGTCTGCCTTCTTCCCTCTTCCCACTTTACCTCACCCAACTGACACATAGGTGGAGCAGGGGAAGGGTAAGAAATAGGGCAAACAGTCCAAGAAGAGCCGATCCCCATGTGCCTGCAAGACCAGCCAGTCATCCTTGGAGCACTCAAACTTTGGCCCACCCACCTGCCCTAAGACGTACCCGCAACGGAGAAGTTGTTTAAAGGGGGCAGGGTCTGGTCAGGGGCCTCAGGCCGCTCCTTATAGCCAATGAAGGAGCCATCACTCTTCAGCAGGAAGTACCGGGGCCTCCACGTCTTGATGTATTCACCTGAACAAAGGTAGAGGAGAGGGAGAGGTCAGGCAGAGTGCCTCACCAGGGGCACCTGGGTGGGAGGAGGGTGGAGGAGGGTAGGCAGGAGAGTACCTCTCCAAGAGAAACCCTTGGGGTACCCCTGCTGATGAAGGCTGGGGCCGGGCTGGGCCCAGTGATTAAGAGGTCATGCCTGGCAGGCAGGGGCCTGCTGCAATGGCCCAGGGCACCAGCTGTCTCAGCATGTGGCCAGCAGCAAGCCATCCTTGCCAGCACGTGGCCCAATCCCAGGAGAGGCCCAAACTTCCAAACACACATGCCCTGTGACCCTGTAAGGCCAAATCCCATGGGCTGGTATTCATCAGTACAGCATGCAGATGGATCAAATGTCAAAACACTGTGCCAGGCCGGGTATAACTGTCGCTGTGCCCTCCAAGTGTCCCTTGGCCTCTTCTATTTGTTCTAACTGTGAATATCCAAGCACCCTGTGTACATATGTGTCCACGTGTGTGATCAAGAACCCACTCCTCACAAGTCTGCAGAAGAAAACGAGATGGGCTGCGAAATGGATGAAGGAAATTAAGAGGCACAAACTTCCAGTTATAAAATAAATAAATCATGGGGATATAAAGTATAGCATAGGAGATACAGTCAATAAATATTATAATTACTTTGTAAGGTGACAGATGGTAACTAAACTTATCATGGGGATCATTTCATAATGTAAATATCAAATCCCTGATGTACAACTGAAATAGGACAGTGTAAGTCAATTATATGTCAATAAAATAAATAAAAAGTTTTCAATAAAATAAAATGTTATTTAAGTCCTCAAAAGATAAGAGATGGTGAAACAAAACTTGTACATAAATGTTCATAACAACATTATTCACAATAGTAAAAAGTGAAAACAACCCAAAAGTCCATCAACTAATGAATGGATAAACAAAACAAGGCATACCAACATACTATAATACTGTTCAATCATAAAAAGAAACAAAATATGAACACATGCTACAACACAGATGAACATGAACCGAACTAAAAGAACAGATTAGATCAGTATATTTACATAAAATGTCCAGATTAGGCAAATCCACAGACATGAACAGCAGGGTGTGACAGTACCTCACAAGAGGCATGTGGGTGGGAGGAGGGAGGACAGGAAAGCAGGCAGGAGCACAGTAATAAAATGTGTTAATATTAATTGTGGAGATGGCTGCACACTCTGAATACTAAAAGCCACTGAACTGTACAGTTTAAAAGGCTGAATTGCACCCAGCTGGCGTGGCTCAGTGGTTGAACATCAACCTACGTATGAACCAGGAGGTCACGGTTCAATTCCTGGGCAGAGCACGTTCCCAGGTTGTGGGCTAGATCCCCAGTGTGCAGAAGGCAGCAGATCAATGATTCTCTCTCATTACTGATGTTTCTCTCTCTCTTACTTTCTGAAATCAATGCAAACATATTTTTAAATAAAAGGCTGAATTGTATAGTATGTAAATTATATCTGAAACTGTTAAAAACTATGCAGTCATCAGCATAAAACCCCAGCTTAGGGCTCAGCACACACCGCAGGCACTCAATCAATGCTCTGATCATCAGCCCACTTTGCAAAGAGTGCCAAGCCCTCAACGCACATGGCACATGTAAATAGGATGGCAGGGTGGGGGTCTGGGCTATATTTGCTGTGTGGCTGCCAGTTAAGTCACTTCACTTCTGAATCGTTGTTTCCTCTTAAGGAGCTATCCAGTAAATGATACTGATGATGATGATGATGATGATGATGATATAAACATTATAGTGGTACTTCGTGCCACATACTGTCCTAAGTATATCTTACAGGTTTTAACTTACTAAATTCTTTCAAATTTAGATACTAAGTTATTTTATATATATAAAGTTCAAAAACTAGCAAAACCCCAAGTTTAACAATAAATTAAAAGGATTACACACCACGACTAAGTGAGTTTTATCCTAGATATCAAGGGTGGTTCAATATATGAAAATCAATCAATTTAATACACATTAATAGAATGAAGGAAAACAATACATGATCATTTCAATTGAGGCAGAGATAGCATTTAACAAAATCCTACAACCTTTCATGATAAAAATACTCAGCAAACTAGGAATGGAAGGGAAGTTCCTCCACATGACAGAGGGGATCTGTGAAACACCCACAGCTAACATCATACTCAGTGATGAAAGCTTCCCCTAAGAACAGGAGCAAGACAAGGATGTCCACTTTCACCAAATGTTATTGGACGTTTTAGTCAAGAGAAGAATAAAAACAATGAAGGGCATCCAATGTGAAAGAACAAATATAACTATCTTTATTTGAAGACTAGAGGCCTGGTGCACCAGTGGGGTCCCTCAGTCTGGCATGTGGGATCGAGCTCTCCAACATCCCCTGAGGGGTCCTGGATTGCAAGAGGGTGCAGGCCAGGCCTAGGGACACCACCAGAGCATGATTGGGGCCAAGGAGGGATGCAGAACATTGGCCTGCTGGGGAGGGACTGCAGGAGGGCCCCAGGGCATGTCTGTCCTGTCTCACTCAGTCCTGATCAGCCAGACCCCAGCAGCAAGCTAACCTAACAATCAGAGCATCTGCCCCCTGGCGGTCAATGCACGACATAGCAACTGGTAGATTGGTCCACTGTCTGCCCCCTGGTGGTCAGGGCATGTCAATTTGGTCAACCAGTTAACCAAATACTTAGCATAATAGGCTTTTATTATATAGGATTAGTGGCCTGGTGTGCAAAATTCATGCACGGGGATGGGGGGAGGGGGGGAGAGTGTCCCTCAGCCTGGCCTGTATCCTCTCCAATCTGGGACCCCTAGGGGGATGTCCAACTGCTGGTTTAGGCCCAATCCCACCCTCTCACAATCTGAGACCACTGGCTCCTAACCGCTCATGTGCCTGCCTGCCTGATCGCCCCTAACCACTTTGCCTTGCCAGCCTGTTTGCCCCCAACTTCCTCCCTGCACTGGCCCGCTAGTCCCCCAACTGGCCCCCCACCGGCCTGTTCACCCCCAACTGCCCGCGCCCTCCCCCCACCCGCCTGATCACCCCCAACTGCCATCTGCTCCTGGCCTGATCGCCCCTAACTGCCTCTGCCCCACCACCATGGCTTTGTCTGAAAGGCCATCCGGAAGGTCTCCTGGTCTAATTAGCAATATCCTTTTATTAGTATAGATGACATGATCCTATATATTTAGAAAATCGCAAAGAATCCACAAAACAATTACTAGAGCTAATAAACAAATTCAGCAAAAGAACAGGCTAATCAATTGTGGTTCTATACACCAGCTGTAAACAACCCAAAAGATTAAGAAAACAATCCCATTTATAATAGCATAAGAAGGTAAAAGATTGATGCATTAAAAACTATAAAACATTGCTGAAAAAAATGATATACATAAATAATTCAAACACATCGTGTTCACAGATTGAAAGATTTTATATATTTAAAATGAAAACACTACCAAAGTGATCTAGAGTCAGCACATTCCCTAAAAAAATTCCAACATCCTTTGTTGCAGAAATTGAAAGGCCAATCCTCAAATTTACAGGGAATTCAAATTCACATGGCAAAGGACCCCAAACAGCCAAACAATACTGAAAAAGAACAACAAAGTAAAAGTACTCATACTTCCTGATTTCACTACAAAGCCACAGTAATTGAATCAATGTAATATAAAGATTGACATATAGACCAATGGAATAGAATTGTCAAAAATAAACAACAATAAAAAACAAGTATGGTCAATTGATTTTTAACAAGAGTCTTAAGACCACTGAATAAATGGTACTGGGACAACTGAATATTCACATGCAAAAAAATAAAAAACAAAACTAGAGTTGGATGCTTACCTCACACGATATCACAGATACAAAAATTAACTCAAAAGGATCTACTTAAATATAAGAACTAAAACTATAAATTCTTAGAAGAATACATTGGGGTAGATCTTTGTGACCTTGGACCTGGCTGGGTAGCTATGTGGGTAAGAGCGTTGTCCTGATACGCCAAAGTTGAGGGTTTGTTTTCCAGTCAGGGCACATACAAGAATCAACCAATGAAGGCATCAGTAAATGGAACAAGTCAATGTTTCTCTCTCCCTTCAATCTCTCTCTCTCTTTGGTTCTTCCTTAAAAAAAAAAAAAAAAAAAAAATCATTTTTTTTTTTTAATTTTCACCTGAGGATATGTTCTTCATTGATTCTAGAGAGGAAGGGAGAGCGGGAAAGGGCAGGGGAAGGAGAAACATCAATGTGAAAAGATCCATCAGTTGTCTAGTTGCCTCCCCTACCAGGGATGAACCCACCCCACCCACAAGCTGGGTATCAAATCTGTGACCCTTTGCTTCATGGGACAACTCTACAAACTGAGCCACACTTGCAGAGCTATAAAAAAAAATTTTTTTTTTCTCTTCTTGACCTAGGATTTGACAATCGATTTTTAGATATGACACCCAAAATGCAAGCAACCACAGAAAAAATAAAGTAGACTCACTGAAATTAAAAACTTTTATGCAAAGAACAATATCAAGAAACTAAAAGAACAAAAAATGGGCAAAAATATTTGCAAATCATACATCTGATAAGAGTTTAGTATCTATAATACAGAATTGTTATAACTCAACAACAAAAAAGACAAATAGCCTGATTATACAATTGGCAAAGAACTTGACTAGACAGTTCTCCAGAGATAAAAATGAGCAACAAGCACATGAAAAGATGCTCAACATCATTAGTCATTAGGGAAATGCAAATTAAAACCATGAGCTAACACTTCACACCCACTAGAATGGCTGCAATTAAAAAAAGAAAAGAAAAAGAACAATGTTGGTGAAGATGTGGAGAAACTCAAACCTGGTGGAAATGTAAAATGGTGCAGCCATATGGAAAAGTTTGGCACTTCTTCTAAAAGTTAAGTATAGAATACACTGAAGATTATAAATATACTAGTGGCCCAGTGCATGAAATTAATGCAAGGGGGAGGGGGAGGGAAG